TCCTCAGAACTGATGGTGGCTGGGAAAACGTCAGTTTATATGCAGTAAAAAGGGGAGGGGGATGGGGTAGAGAGTAAATGATAGGATAGAGCCTAAAGAGAGAGAAAAGAGCAGCTGGACAGACAAAGAGTTGATAACGATCAGGATAGGAGGGTGAATAGTTGTTAATAAGGACTATTAGTGACTAATAACAGATAGCGTGTAATGGCAGGCTATGTGATAACAAGGCCTGGTGTGTGGGGTAGGGGCTGGGACATGGGAGAGTTGAGGCCCTAAAATTATTGAACTCGATATTGAGTCCGGAGGGCTGCAGGGTTCCCAAGCGGAAAATGAGGTGTTCTTCTTCTAGCTTGTGTTGAGCTTCGCTAGAACACTGCAGCAAGCCAGAGTCAGACATATTGGTCAGGGAACAGGGTGGTGCATTAAAGTGGCAGGCTACGGATAGTTCAGGGTCTTTTTTGCGAGCAGAATGTAGATGTTCTGTGAAGTGGTCACCCAGTCTATGCTTCGTTTCCCCACTGTAGAGAAGACCACATTGTGAGCAGCGAATGCAGTAGACTAGATTCTGGGAAGTGCAGGTGAAGTGTTGCATCACCTGGAAGGTATGTTTGGGCCCTTGGATACTGGGGAGGGAGGAAGTAAATGGGCAGGTGTTGCACCTTCGCGGGTTACGGGGGAAGGTGCTGTAGGGCTGTGGGGGTGGGGGGGGGCAGCAGGTGTTGGGGGTGAAGGAAGTGTGGACCAGGGTGTCCCGGAGGGAAGGGTCCCTGCGGAAGGCGGACAAGGGAGGGGAGGGGAATATGTGTCTGACGGTGGCATCTTGCTAGTGGTGGCGGAAATGACAACTGATGATCTTCTGGATGTGAATGCTGGTGGGATGGAAGGTAAGGACAAGGGGAACCCTGTTGCTGTTGTGGGTGGGAAGAGAAGGGGTGAGGGCGGAAGTGTGGGAGATGGGTCCGACCCGGCTGAGAGCCCTGTCGACCACAGAGGTTAAGATGACTGACAGAATTTGGTTTAGCCCTTAATGAGATGCTTAGAGATCATCTGGTATGTGGGATTAATGCTGTGATTATGCAAAAACAGTGACTACCTGAAGCCTAATTGGACTTCAAACAGGCACTACAACTGGCTTTGTCATGAGAAAATGCAGCAAAGTGAGATACGAATTGCAGGGTATTCAGATGGAAGAAGACACCCTCGCCAGGCCGAATGAGCTTGGGGAACACTACTTGAGTGAAGACAATTGCACAGCCTCACTCAGGACATATCCTGAGCAGGTGGACCCTAGGTCAGTTTGCAGCAAAACCCCAAAACGAAGTCAAGCCTCGGCCAAATGGCGAAAATTTTCTTCAGAATCTGGGCTGCCAAGCCATTCTATTTGCTGCTGGTTTGCAGACTCGAGACCACAAAGGTGTCTTACTAGATCAAAGTTGAGTAAAATAGTTCATAGGTCAGTATTCAGGAGAGTTCACCTACATCTGGTTTGGAGCAGTTAAATTGCTTAGCAATATCCAAATCGGAATCAATCAAGACAAAAGTTCTGGTTAAATGGTCATCTGGTTCTAATGGAGGTAGATACTGGTGCAGCATCATCAGTGATTGCAGAACCTGCTTTTAATAAAATTCACTCTGGACTCCAACCCTTAACCTTACATAAGCCCTTAGCTCAGCTGTGAACCTATACTGGGGAACCTTTACAGATTAAGGGGACAACTTCAGTTCCAGTCACTTATGACAAGCAGCTTGTTCATTTACCATGATTGTAGTAAAAGGCTCAGGCCCAGGCTTGATGGAGTAAAACTGATTGCGAGAGATTCACCGAGTTTGGCTTAACATTTTTCCATTAGAAAATGGCTAACTGAGTAAGTCCTAATTAAATACCCGGAGGTTTTCCAGGAAGGTCTAGGGGCTATCAGAGGAGCCAAGGCCACCTTGCATGATGACCAGGAAGCAATTCCCATGATTCTGCAAGGCTCCGCCCCTAATGTCATTTGCCTTGTGTGCAAAAGTAGTGGCAGAAATCAGAACACTGGAAAGTGACGGAATCATCAAACCAGTCCAATATGTGGAATGAGCAGATTTTGAAGGCCAACTGGTCGGTTCGCCTTTGAGGGGATTTTAAACGAAATTAAACAAACAGGTGAATAAATACCCAATCTCATGGATACAGGATTTATATGCAGTGGAGCTGTCCTTCACGAAGCTGAACATGAGCCACGCCTACTTGCAATTGCATTCAGCCCAGGATCCCCAGAAATACACTACAATAAATACCCATAACAGCTTATACCAATACGCAAGACCGTCATTTGGGGTATCGTCAGCCTGTTCAATTTTTCAGCGGACATTGGAGAACGTTTTGCAAGATCTACCTCAGGATGCCACTTACCTCATTGACATTTTAAAACATGAGAAACTAATAAGGAACACTTAGAAATCTTAGATAAAGGGGATGAGATTTAGTGTAAGAACCATGGAATGATCCCTCATAGTTAAGGGGCATGGTTGACATGAGGTCAGGACCAGTAATGTACAAAGTTCGGGAAGGTGCAATGGTCCTGAACAAGCAAGTGGACCATATGAAAGCTGCAAATTCGCAAACGGTGAGGGAGCAAACTATGCCCTTCTGTCAAAATATTTGTAAATGTTGCCGGAACTTAAGGGTTCACCCTATCTGTCAAGTGTTGATAAGTCCTCAGAATTGGGGATGGACATGATGGATGTAGCCACCTCACACCTTTGTCGCCAGAAGAAGAGAGTGAAATTTCTACAGAGGCATTCCTGGTCCATTAGGTGATCTCCCAAGTGTTACACACTGCCTGTATCAGATGAGTTAAAGGAACCTGAACCAGTGCTAACAAGTCCCTGGAGGCTTTCTGAGTAAAAGTTATGTTCATAGATTCAGAGGGGGAAGGGTATTGTGATTGTAACAAGGTCAGCCAAGTGGAGCTCATAGAAAATGAGTTCCCTGATTGGAGCTGTTAATCAGATCCAATCAGAGAGCCCTGGCTGACGGATATAAACAAGAGCGTCAGAGATACTGACACTCTGATGCTTGACTCTGTATGAGGCAGCACTTTACTCGAGGACTGTTCGTGTGTAAATAAAGGGTGAATTGGTGATCGGATACTGATCTCTGTGGAGTTATTGTGCAGTGGAGACTCTGATGGGTCAGGCCTGCATTCACTGGATCTATTCTGCCAACAAGCAAAGGAGTGGATGATGAGCCCCAAGTGCCTTTTAACCTAAGAGTTTCCCATGGTGAGTGGGGCAGTGGGCTCTGGATCCGTGCATCGACTTGGTGCAAAGAGACAAACACTCAGAACTCGGTCACTGACTGAGTGCAGGGAAAATAATCAGGAGGCCTGGAGGGGGTGAGGTGATTTGTAGTTTTAAACCTGTCTGGTTGGGTGACGTGGTTGCAATGGTTGATCAGCTGTTGGTGTGTACAAGATATGAAATATGCCTTTCAGATTTCAGATGTGCTTTGTGTGTGAGAGTGAGTTGAAGCCCATGAGTGAGTTCTGATAGATTGAGTTTGTTGTTGAAATATGTTGGTGTGGCCAATTCAGTAGCATTTGAGGCTACTTTTTTTTATTCATTGATGGGATGAACTTATTGCCCATCCCTAATTCAGCTCAGAGTCAATCACATTGCTGTGGGTCTGGAGTCACATGTAGGCCAGACCAGGTAAGGATTGCAGTTTCCTTCCCTAAAGGGCATTAGTGAGCCAGAGGGGTTTTTCCTGACAATCGGCAATGGATTCATGGTGGTCATTACGTTCTTAGTTCCAGATTTTTGTTAATTGAATGCAAATTCCACCATCTGCCAAGGCAGGATTCGAATTTGGGTCCCCAATACATTAGCTGGGTCTCCAGATTAACAGAGCAGCGATAATACCACTAGGCCATCACCTCCCCTGCTGCAGATTGGCTTTCACTGGTGCCAAGGGAGCCTCTTGTGGAAGTATCCCTACTCCTGGACCAAGAGTTCTGGGGTCAAGTCCCACCTGCTCCGGAAGTGCGTAATATCATCTCTGAACAGGTTGATCAGAGAGGAAAAATCATTAACTGGTGCCAAGGGAAGGCAAGGGTAATGTGCTAGTCTGGTGAGCCTGAACCCAACTTAATGTTTTAGGGCAGGTGATGGCCCAGTGTAACAGGAGAACTTAATTTTTTATTCAAATTAATGCCTCCAAGAACCTACTAGAGACCTGAGTGAAATCACCCAATCCTCAACCCACACATGTATCAAGGCTGGTACTGGTACAATTTGTACAAGGTCACACCACCTCATCTCTTTCCCTTGCGTCACTGCTAGAGTACATGAGCTTCGCCAACAAAGTTGGTTGGACCCAGATGCAAGGCACTATAGAATATTGCAACGCATTAAGACCACCATATCATAGTGAGGCCAAATTCATTAATAAAAAGGCAACATTTGGTCACGTCCAACTCCTCTGTGATGATTGCTCCCAAATCTTACAGTACACATTTCCCTCAGTGACACTGACATTGGGCATTTCTTCCTCTGCCGGCTGCAGGGATGTGTCAATGATGGACCTCACCAGATTGTGCTCCCACCTCTGATCTTGTTAACGTACCCACTGAGATGTCAGTATCTGAGCTGGTGGAGGGTGTAGGAGAGGCTTGCTTGTGCCTCCTCTGAGGAGAATGTGCAGCTGACAAGTTTGACGCACTGTTCTCTTGCAGTTGAGAGCCTTGTGGGTGTCACAGGTACCTGCTTAAGACAAGGGAAGGAAGGAGTTACACAGTAGGGATAGAAGTTGAGCACGTTAAGGGTTCGTTCACAGTGTTGGCAACGAAACAGTAGTGCATCAGATTACAAAGAAGCTTACTGAGAAACAGGAAGCTTCAGTGAGATGAAAGTGGCTGGAAGAACTGTTAATGTTGGTGCAGGAACAGCAGATGTGGTGACATGTCACATGTGCACGAGTGAAAAGCACAGTCGACAAGGCAGGCTTTGTTGATTGGGGGATGGAGTGGGAGACAGCCTCGAGGAAAGATGCTGCGTGCAATGTTGAGAGTGATAAACCAGGAGCCTGTGTGCGGTCACAGAGTGAGTGTGAGTGTGAAGTTTCAGAGAGGGAACGGTGGCACCTCACCTTGTGCAGCACTAAAAGTTATTCACCTTCCTGCATCATTGCTGCCCGCTCCTCTGGACTGTAAAAACTGCACTGGCTTCAGGCAAGGTTGGCAGCGTCTGGTGCCATGCTGTACTTTGTCAGTCCTAAGGAAAGGGATTGACCCTCCTCTCCACCATCCCATCCAGCAGGACCTCTCAGCTCCAGTCTGCGAAACCATGGCACCAACTTTGTTGTCGCGGCCACTTCCTTTAGAATTGTGCAGCAGTTCCAGACGTTCAGTGTTTGATGGGACAGTGTTCAGAGGAAGCACATCAGGGATACCCTCAAAGCCTCACTGGTGACAGGCAGCATTCCCACAGAAACCTGGGAATCACTGGCCCAAAACTGTTCAAAGCGGAGGAGGAGAATCATCTGGGAAAGTCGCTTTGAGATTTGCCATCAGGAAAAGGCAGAAGCTGGGCGAAACCAGGGAAAGGAGCGCACTGCCACACCAATGCCCCACCCATCCCTTTCTGTGACTATCTTCTGCCCTAAATGTAACAGAGCCTGTGATAGCTGTATTGGACTACAGTCGTCTACAGACTCAGCCTGAGTGGAAGAGAATTATCCTCATCTGCGAGGGACAGCCAATGATAATGATGATGTTTGATGATGTGTTCAACTGGGTTTTCATTACGATGAAGCTGACAGTCGGTACCAGAATCTGCCAGGATCTTCACCTCTACTGACTGTGCAAGCGAGCGCCATGTAACCTGGATCCATAGTTAATAAGGTGAGCAACTGAGAATTACTTGGGGATACTCTGTAAGTCTGGAGACCAGCACTCCACAAAATTCACATTCCACACTGAAATATGGGAATATTCAGCCCAACAGCTTTTGAAATGCTGAAGTAGTTGTTGTTGTAATGCTCCAGTTCAACCCCTCACTCTCTGCTCACTGCATCAAACATTAGCTGTGGTTGATCAAGCGCTATGTCCTGCTGAACCTGAGCAGAAATTATCCTCACTTTCCAAGATTTCTGCTTTCACGTAATTACAGAATTGCTACAGTGGAGAAGGGGGCTATTAGACCCATCATATCTGCCCCAGCTCTCGGAATGGTCTTCACATTATGGTGCCATTCCCATGCCCACTGACCATAATCAATCACAGAATCCCTACAGTGTAGAAGCAGGCCAGTCAGCCCATTGAATCCACACTGACCTTCCAAAGAGCATCCCATCCTATAGCCCTGTATTTCCCATGGCTAACCCACATAGCCTGCACACTATGGGCAATTTGGCATGGCCAATCCACCCAAATCTGCACATCTTTGGACTGTAGGAGGAAACTGGAGCATAGAAGCATAGAAGATAGGAGCAGGAGGAGGCCATTCAGCCCTTCAAGCCTGCTCTGCCATTCTTCACAATCATGGCTGATCGTCCAACTTAACAGCCTAATCCTGCTTTCTCCCCATAACTTTTGATCCCATTCATCCCAAGTGTTATATCTAGTCGCCTCTTGAATACATTCAATATTTTGGCATCAACTGCTTCCTGTTGTAATGAATTCCACAGGCTCACCACGCTTTGGATGAAGAAATGTCTCCTCATCTCTATTCTAAACAGTATGCCCCGAATCCTCATACCTGTGGTTCTGCACACACCCACCATTGGGAACATCCTCCCTGTCCAGTGCTGTTAGAAATTTATAAGTTTCTATGAGATCCCCCTCATTCATCTGGACTCTACGAAAACAATCCCAACCTGGTCAATCTCTCCTCATACTTCGGGCCACAGGGAGAATGTGCATGTAAACTCATATAGATAGTCACCTAAGGCTGGAATCAAACCAATTTCTTTGGTCTATGAGACAGCAGTGTTAACCACTGAGACACCGTGCCACAAATCATGCGTCATGTTGTTTTAAATTTAATAATAATATAGCAGAGGCTTGAATGCTTCAATTTAAGCTGTCCCCAACACTCTTACAAGCACTCACTGTTTGAAAGTGTTTAGCAAGTTGCATTTCCTACTTTGTAAATTGTTTTCAATCTGCGCTGTAGTGCACTGGTTACCATGTTCACTTCAAACATGAAAAGTCCTGATTCAAAACTGTGCCAAAAACTATATTTCCAGTAGGCAGACCAAGACGACTAAGCAGGCAATGCAGGAATATCCTCTGGCCATTCCCCTGAAAAACAGACATACCGCTTCGGATACTGTTGAGGAGAACGTCTTCTCAGGGGAAAACAGCGTACAAGGCAGGAGCAAATACTGTGGAAATGCAACAGTCATAGGGGATTCAATTGTACAGGGAATAGATGGACTTTACTGTGGCTACAAATGAGCAAGACACTATGGTTCTAGGTTCAAGGGTGTCTCAGAGTTGCTACAGCAAATCTTGGAGAGGAGAGTGAACAGCTAATGGTTGTGGTACACATTAGTACTAACGACACGGGTGATAAAAATGGATGAAGTCCTAAAAGTAGAATATAGGTAGTCAGGAAGCAAGCTGACAAGTAGAACCTCAATGATAGTTAGCTCTGGATTACTATTGGTGCTACATGCTAGTTAGAGTAGACATAGAAAGATATAGCAGATGAACATATGGCTAAACAGATGGTGTGACAGGGAAGGTTTCAGATTCCTGCGGCATTGGAACCAGTTCTGGGGGAGGTGGGTTCAATGCAGGCTGAGGAAGGGTCACCGGACCCGAAACGTTAACTCTGTTTTTTCCTTCACAGATGCTGCCAGGCCTGCTGAGCTTTTCCAGCAACTTCAGTTTTTGTTCCAGTGCAAACTGGATGGGTTACACCTGGGCAGGACCAGAACTGATGTCCTCAGGGCATATTTGTTAGAATGGTGGGGGAGGGTTTAAACTGAATTGGTAGGGGGATGGGGATGGATGCAAGCACTCAGATGAAGAGAAACCAAGGACAAAAACAAAAGACAGAAACGGGAATTAAAAAAGTGATAGGCAGAACATTCAAAGGCGAGGTTCAAAAACAATCAAAATCAGACCACTGTGAAAAATAGTGAGAATAGGACATTAGAAAGACAAGCCTTAAGGTTTTGTGCCTGAACACGTAAAGCTTTCAAAATAAAGTGGATAAACAAATTTGCAAAAAGATGAAAACAGGTATGGTATAGTTGGGATTACAGAGATTTAGCTGCAGTGTGATCAGGGGTGGGGACTGAACATCCAAGGTTATTCTTGAACCAGAGATAGTAGGAACTGCAGATGCTGGAGAATCCGAGACAACAAGGTGCAGGGCTGGATGAACACAGCAGGCCAAGCAGCATCATAGGAGCAGGAAGGCTGACGTTTCGGGCCTAGACCCTTCATCAGAAAAGGGGGAGGGGATGGGGGTTCTGAAATAAATAGGGAGAGAGTGGGAGGCGGATAGAAGAGGGATAGAGGAGAGGATAGGTAGAGAGGAAACAAACAGGTCGAAGAGGCGGGGATGGAGCCAGTAAAGGTGAGTGTAGGTGGGGAGTTAGGGAGGGGATAGGTCGTCCAGGGAGGACGGACAGGTCAAGGGGGCGGGATGAGGTTAGTAGGTAGGAGATGGGGGTGCGGTTTGAGGTGGGAGGAGGGGATAGGTGGGAGGAAGAACAGGTTAGGGAGGCGGGGACGAGCTGGACTGGTTTTGGGATGCGGTAGGGGGAGGGGAGATTTTGAAGCTTGTGAAATCCACATTGATACCATTGGGCTGCAGGGTTCCCAAGCGGAATATGAGTTGCTGTTCCTGCAACCTTTGGGTGACATCGTTGTGGCACTGCAGGAGGCCCAGGATGGACATGTC